TGAGCTTCTAGGGTTTTGTAGGAGAGTAAAAATGCATAATTTTAATACCCACTCATCCTATTTATAGACCAAGCCAATAGAGAACTAAAATAAAAACAAAAATTTGCACTTTGGTCCTTAGGAAATCTGGCCATATCAAGGGGGAAGAGAGAAAAATTTTGAATCCAACTTTGCACTTTATTATCCAATGGATTTGGAGGTTAATGATAGAATTGAAAGCCTCAACCTCGTTCATTTTGCGGATTCAAAAAATTTAAATGTGACATTTTTTGAGAATTTTTTACTATAAAAATCTAAAATTAAAAACTCAAATCGGTGAAATCAACGAAATATTTACCTTCTTTTACCCACCTAATCAAATCACCCTTTTGCATTATTTGTCTAACCATTTCATACACTTCCTTAACTCTTGGTCCTTCCAATTCCCCTTTCTAATTTTAGCATTAAATTAAAGATTAGACATGTTGTATGGAAATAGACAATTTTGTATCTTTCTTCTCTACAGATGGTGAAAATCTAGGTGCCTCTCTCTGTTTTTATTGGTTGAATCCTAGCCATTAATTCAAAGTCCATCAAATCTCCACCACTGAATTAACATCATTGCCTATGTCGCCTATTGATTTGATGAGATCAAATCAGTACAATTTCATCCGTGATTGCTAAGCCGTCGTTCACTTCGCGGATTTGAGTTTTCAATTCGAGTTGAGATGTGATATTTTCTGAGAGTTTTTCACTGTAGCATAAAAAGTTAGATGTGACATTTTCTGAGAGCCTTTTACTGTAGAAACCTAAAACTGAAAACTCAGATCGGTGAAATGAACGAGGCCTAAATATTTCCGTTTAGTACATTGATTCGAGTTTTTAATTCGAGTTGAGATGTGACTTTATGTGAGAACTTTTTAGTGTAGCAAAAAAGTTAGATGTGATTATTTGTGAGAGCTTTTTACTGTAGAAAAACTCAAATTATAAACTTGAATCAGCGAAATGAACGGGGCCATATACTGACAATATTTATAACTTCTATTAATTAAATAACATGAGTTGGCATGAAAGAGTTTACTTTTATTAAGATTCTGTTCACTTCACTGATTTAAGTTTATAATTTAAATTTTGTTATAGTAAAAAGTTTTCGATAACAGTCACATTTAACTTTTTTGTTACAGTAAAAAGTTCTCACATAAAATTACATCTCAATTTGAATTACAAATTCGAATCAGCGAACTAAACAGGCCCTAACTCTGTTGCAGTAGAGAATCACTTGTCTTTGTTGCAACACCAAATTTTTTGTTAATTTTGTTTCTAATTTGCTCCAAATTAATCACCAATTCCTCGGATTAATTTAAACTGTTTTCTAAATTGATTACTAAATTAAATGGGAATCACAATTTTTGTCGATAACCTGAGAACTTTTTTTTTTTGTCTCTTATATTCATCTTTAAAATATACCGGGATCGTCTCATTCTAAAAATTTCATCTCACAAAATCATTCTCACATACGATTGAATTTTTGAAATTTACGAGACGTTTGGTTCATGGATTAGAATCATGAGATTATAACCATTTTTGATTTATGTGTATTTTTTGTGAGATAAAACACTATAGCGAACAATGAACTATGATTCGAATCAAGGTACGAATTCCCTTACCAAACGTCACTAACGTTTCGATTATGCAATAAAATAGCTCTTAATTCGCATCACAAATTTATATTGACATAGTTCAACGAATTGACGGGGAATTCATTATCTAAATCTGGATAAATTCATAGATTTATATTAATGAATTCCTCGGATATCACTCTAAGAGAAAATATTCTTTAAACTATTTTTGGGTGGTATGAACCCATCCATCAAATGGCTCTTAGAAGTTAAAATCGTATTAATTATGGAAAATATTGCACAAATTAAAATCGTATTAAAAGAAAGGCCAAAGTGCAAGAAACGCTCGCAACTTACTTTTAACCATTTTTTTAGGGTGTATTTGGTTAGGGAAATGGAAAGGAATGAAAATGAATCAAGATTCATCTTATGTTTGGTTGGTTTCAAGAAAAGGAATGACCATTCAAAATGAAATGACTTTTTCATCAAATAAGTGAATCATCGTTCCTTCCTTATATGAGAGGAATGCCTATTCCAAGCTCTTTTAATTTTCTTTTCCATTATTATCCTTAAATATTATAATTATAAATATTATAATTATAAATATTAATATTATAATAATTTATATTATAATGTAATTATATCTTATAACATATAATATAATATATTATAATTATATACGTATATTATAATATATCATATATAATATTATAATAATATCTTATATTATGTATTA